TCGTTAAAACAGAAATTTGCCCAATCTGTAATCTTTCTCTTCTTATTAACTAGAATCAGATCTATGATTTTGTTCTCAAAGTCGGGTATTACTGCCTTGACTGCGGCTGACGGGGGCTTATATGGCTCCAGACAGCTATCGTCATACTTTCTTGATCAAGGTGATACAATGTTCATGAAAATTATCATGGACGAGGATACTTCTATCAAGACCCAGCCACAACACTACAGTAGCTGTTATTCTTTTGTGCTGCGCGTGCAAAACAGGAAGATCGCATAGACCTTCAACAACTGTACCCAAAACTTCAGTGGTAACAATAGCACTAAATTCATTGCTAACACAATACTTACAGGCACCACTCGGTCCACAAAAATTTCAGACATTCTCGCATCAGGGAATGGCATAAGATCACTTGAATATGTATCCACTTGTCTAGTCCCTCGTATTTGACTTCTGCCCCTCTTACTCTTTGCCCATCTACCTCGATCCTCTGCATGATCTAATGTGAGCCCTCGTCGCTGTATATATGTTGCGCTACATTTACGCATACTATGCGTACCAAGTTCACTTATCTCTCATTTGGCCTTAAACTCGGGTAAAGAGATAATTGTTTTGATTCTACTGCGTGACATGTCGGTTCTTAATTTCTCGTCTCGCCCGGTCGATCCATTGGAAGTGAAAATATAGCCGAGATTTAAGTTGCTATATGTTGAACAACCACTAAATCAATCAATGATATCCAAGCACAACTTGTCTACTCATCTGCGATTTCTCAGCAGTTTTCGCTCCTAGTTATCTCAAGAAAAAACTCATCAGGATGGTCTTCGTTGTATTTTAGATTACTGTATGTGATATTCGTCGCATCATCTACACGACATATCAACTGGAAAGTCCATGTCTATAAACCATGTAGCCCGTTATTAATTCAGAATATGGTATCATTTGCGTGTCAGGATACTCTTCGCCCTAGTTTTTTTCTGGCCTCCAATACCACAAAAACCGTCTCATATTCTTGGCATATTCTACCATAACTTTAGCCTGCACCATCTTTATGTGAACAAGTATGCTATACTTATGAACAATACATGCACATAGTGTGTTTATTTGCTTATTTATATATTTTACTATCTTGCAGCTTCGCACGGTGTTAAATGTGCATACGACCTTTGCGAAAAAGTGTGATTTCAAAAGGTCAAACAGGGTTGTACAAAACGCTACATTTGTACTACCTGCTGTATAACTGATGAATTGATGAAAGCTGAAAAATACCTTTGCAATTTGAGTCAATTTGTTAAGGTAGTTGCAAAGTTATGTAATGAAAAAGTAGTACAGAGTACAGCCAATCGGATCCAACGAATCGTCATTATACCATCGCGGAGTATGACCATGGTCGTACAACCGATATAATACGTAAGTATTTAAATAATACTAAATACTTAGGGATAATACCATTTATTTATTTAAAAAAAAGACAAGTTATAATGTATGTATAATGTATGAACATATGGTATGGCTCTCATAGCCGTTGTAGTGGTTCGGAAAGATCGATGGGAAGTAAAGGTTAGTAAATTCCCGCTTGAAGCTTGGGCCAAGTGAGTCGACGATGGAGGATATGCGCTGAGTCAATTCGGGCCGGTGCTGACAGAACACTGATACCATCGAATGTGCCATGTATTCGCTTGCTGACCTACTAAGTAGCGTACCCACCTCTGGGCTCGGGTCTGCGCCGTGTAGTGCCGTGGAATGCGTTGATGCAGAGTACGTAGAAGAGGAGAGAGTAGTAGAAAGAGAGAGTGTGTGTGAGAGAGTGTGTGTGACTGACTGACTGTGTGACAGACTGACACTGACAATGTCTCTGAATGACCAAGTCACCAGAGTCCCAGTCTCCCAGTCTCATCACTCACCCAGCAGCCGGGCCGCAGGGCGCAGGGCCCGCACAAAACCATAGCCTTGTGAAAATTAGACAAGGCAAAACAGTAAACACCACAACAAAAGAGAAGAGAGAGCGAGAGACAGACTCTCAGTCTCAGTCTCTCAGTCCTGAGTCCTCAGACCTCAGTGACAGTCTCTCACTCGTCGTCTTGCAGGCCACTGCTCTGAAATTATCTCACCGCCCTTGCGCAGATATATTGATTATATTCTCAAGATATCAACCACCCACTCTATTTAAACGCTTTCAGTCCCCGCGGCGACCCAGCCGTGTTTTGTTGTCTTTTTTTTAAAGAAGGGTACTGTATATTAAAATAAATACAAACATAGCCTTCTAAAATAGATCAATAAATACAAACATAGCCTTCTAAAATAGATCAATAAATACAAACATAGCCTTCTAAAATAAATCAATACAAAATAGTAATAAAAATAATACCTATGGCCGTATTTAAAACTACCTATGAATTGCGCTTTTGCGATGCGGTTCCGATTAGGCGATTGATTTACCGACACTGGGTGCCGGAGTGGCCGTATTGTATCTATTTATTTTTCCCACAGTGTATATAAAATCATGTGAGCGAGGGTGCGTAGTGTGTATTTAACTGTATAAAATCTGATTGGATGGCGATGCAGGGGCTCCAGGCTGGGCAGGGTGTGTGAGTCGAGTTTTTAGTTTTGTATGTATCTTTACGTGAGTTTTGCATGTATCAGTATCTACGGGCCTACGGCCCCCTACGCCCTACGGCTACCAGCAATCCAGCAAAGCCTTCTAAAAATTTAACACTGCCAGATAAACAAAATACACAAATCGTATGTACATATTTTATTCTACTGAATAATATCAACTACTCATCGAGTTGTGCTCAGATGTACTGATGTACTCAACTGCTTACAGCTCACCTCCCCCTCTTTTCGGCTCCTCTCTTCTTGTTGTGTGTGCGAGAAAGTGTGTTTGCCTGCGCCCAGCAGGCAGCAGCCCAGCGGGGTTTTAAAAAATGATAGCAAAGTGCTCGTATCAATCTCCTCTTTTTATTGGTACTATGAATCATCCTATCCAATCAATATATATATAACCCACAAAATATTATCCCTACATAAGTATTAATTTTCCGTAGAACAAGCTCTTTTTGTTTTTGCCAGAAACGGTTTACGTTGGTTTTTATTGTTTTAAAAAAACAAACCATTTGCTCTTTTAAAAAAAATTATATTGTTTTTTTTATCTACAAAACAAATAGCTGCGAGGCCGATTCTATTTTTAAAATATTTACGACTGTCACAAGTTATTTATTTATAATATATACTTTTTTTTGTTTTTATATTGTTTTTTTTTGTATTTTAGTAAAAATCGGCGAGCCTTTGAGATCACCGACTCAACTGTGTGTCGTGTAACTGGCCTGCGGGCTGCGAGCCGCGCAGTGCGCGACAGGGGGCCTTGTGTTTGAGTATGTATTCGTGCATATTAAAGGGTCTTTAGTGTGTATGTATCATGTATAAGAGTCTTTAGTGTGTGTGTCTGTGTCATGTATAGGGGTCTTTATTACGTGTGTATGTGTCATGTATAGGGGTCTCTCTAGTGTGTGAGTATGTATCATGTATAAGGGTCTTTAGTGTGTGTGTATGTATCATGTATAAGGGTCTTTAGTGTGCGTATGTATCATGTATAAGGGTCTGCGTGTGTCTGTGTCATGTATAGGGGTCACTAGTGTGTGTGTATGTATCATGTATAATGGTCTTTAGTGTGTGTGTATGTATCATGTATAGGGGTCTTTAGTGCGCGTATGTATCATGTATAAGGGTCTGTGTGTGTCTGTGTCATGTATAGGGGTCTTTATTACGCGTGTATATGTCATGTATAGGGGTCTCTAGTGTGTGTGTATGTATCATGTTTAAGGGTCTTTAGTGTGTGTGTATGTATCATGTATAAGGGTCTTTAGCGTGTGTGTATATGTCATGTATAGGGGACTTTAGTGTGTGTATATGTATAATATGCATAAGGGTCTTGAGAGTGTGTATGTCATTCATAATGGTCTTTAGTGTGTGTGTATGTGTTGCACTCATGTCCTATCTACTAGGTCCCGTGGCTCCCGCCTGTGGGTTCACATGTCCACCAAAGGCCTAACAAGGCCCTGTTTTCGGGTACAGGAGCATTGAACTCCTCTTGCCCTCTCTTCATAGACCCGAGATATCGTCAAGGACTTCATGAAGGGCTTGCTTGAGACCACTCTGACCTACACCATGCACCGTCAACGAAAGGCGTTCATGGCTATTCTGGTTTATGCCATGAAGTTCTTGGGCAAGCGTTGTATGGGTTCTGATGCCCAGCGAACGCGTTTGCTACGGAGAAAAACCCCTAAAACCCCCTAACCCTAAACTCTGATATATTAACGAGATGAATAGTAGTTTGTAATTGACTTTTAGTGGCGCTTGCCCATAGGATATATAAGTGCATGCGAATAGCCATAGCCTTGTAAATCATACAGGAATAGCGGGTGGCTGGAAAACCCTAAAACCCTAAGAACCCTTAAATCCTAGCGAGTTGTAGCGACAGATTTGGCCTAAGTGGCGAATAAGCAAACGTGGGGGAGGATACTCATACAGTGTACCAAGTAAAGTAGACACACAAACAGAGAAGAAGTCACATCGGCTATTACAATGTAAAGATAGAATCAAGTGTCACTAATAAAATATGAAGGTAGAGAATAGACCTTATATTCATCTCACATGAGTGTCAATAATAAGATACAAAGGATGAGAATAGACCTTATATCTCATACCAGTATATCTCATACCAGTGTCACTGATAAAATACAAAGGTAGAGAATAGACCTTGTATCTCATATCAGTGTCTGGCTTGTCCTTTTTAGGGCCATCGATCTCACTTTACGTTGGTACACACAGCTAAATCAAGCCCTAAAATCCTATAAGTGGTTTTTCTCGTAAGGGCTTTCAATCCACATTTTACTACATGCGTCGTGTCACTATAGTACAGTGCTCGGTTTATCAGGCTCGTTGGCCCCGAAGCAACGCACAAGTGCATGAGCAATGCATTTCAGTAGATGAGCCGTTCATTACCAATCGCCACCGCCTTCCGCCAGCACTTGGTCCTTCTTGGTGATGCCCATTTGTTTGCTCTGGTCACCCTCCAGCTTGGGACACTGTACAGCCGCAAAAGAAAAGAATCGTCAGTTACATATAACACAACAATCCCACACCATGCACGCAAAAATCCAAAAGGATTAAATGTTGAGAAAGTAGCACGCA